ATAGTATACTTCTTTAAAATCTATTAAATAGCTAGCTTTCCTTTAAGGATTGCGTAGTAGTTAATTATATATAGAATGCTTTACATTATAGCTGCCCTACTTTAGCTAATTTAGCAATTAATTATCTAAATAGCTATTTAGCTATTAGACTATATTAACATTAGCGGGACTAGCCTCCTATAGTTGTAAAATGTCTTTAATAGAATTCTAGCTAGAATTACAGCTTCTTTAATTGCAATTAGTTCTATTATTATGCTATTAGTGCTACCTTTCTTTTTAATTTGTTAAGAGAGGATAAATAATAATATAGACTTTTTAGAATATATAGTTACTTCTAGTTCTACCTATCTGTTAGCAATAAAGCTATTAGTAAAAATGTTTAAATGCTGTTCTTTTATTTTAAGGTAGTTTTTATATACTTTATTAAAGCTATATTAGTTAAACTCTTAATTAATTATTATTATACTTTATAATAGGGCTATCTATATTGGAATAGTTTCAATATTTATTTCTAATTTACTTAGCTGCGTTTTTATATTATAGAAAGGGGAAGTGAATAACTTTGCTCTAAGCTTCTTAATTAGTTTTCTAAACTATGCTTTTAGTAAATTAGATTCTAGTAGCGTATAGAGTCCTACCTAGAATTTGCTAATCTTTAGTTGCAATTAAATATATAGAAAGGGAAGAGACGCTTTAGCATTAGCTACTTTGATTAAAATTGTATAGAAACATTTAACTACTATTTAAGCTCCTATTTATTATATAAAGTTAAGGATTCTAATAATGCTATTATCACTTTTCCTATTAAAGGAACGAGAATACTATATTATAGCTATATAATCTGTTTTTAAAGCTATTATAGCTTAATAAAGTTGCTATACAGCTTATAGTCTAATGCTAGTAAAGCGCTTAAGTTAGCTAGCGCTTCTCCACTCTTTAGTTTTAACTTTAGCTAAGTGATTCTTAAATTGCAATTTAGAATTAAAGATAACTTTTAAAATTCTCTTTTTTATTAAAGGCTTAATTATATAATTGCCTACTCTTAGTAAAAGGTTAGTTTTGTTAATCTTTCTCTAGTTCTATATAAAATACATAAAGACTATTTTATTACTTTTAAACGTAGCGCTATTGTTTTTTGCTTATTAAAAAGCCTTTAAAACAACTTTATTATTAAATACTAATATATTTCTTTTAATTAACTTTAAAATAGCTTATTATATATAGTTATTTATAAATCCTATATTTCCTTATTTCCTATTAATCTTCTCTTTTATTAAGAAAGCGTTAAAGAAGATATATAGAATTAAAGCAAGTATAGATCCTTATAAAAAACTAGACTTTATAAAAGTGACTTAGCTTAATTCTGTCTTATTAATAAATACTATAGCTAGTCAATTTATATAAAAGGAGTTAACCTATATTATTACATAAGCTAGTATTCCTTTTACGCATAGCCAATTAGTAAGCATTTATTAGAAAACGCTATTATATGCTTCTTTTATATTAAAGCTAATAAAGAAAAGAACTTTCTTTTATTACTACGCTTTGAATATTTTCTTAATTAAAAAATGTAATATTTAATTATATAATTATTACAGCCTAGCTCTAAATTATATTTTTAAAAAGAGGTTAAAAGTTTCTATTTAATATAACATTTTTCTTATTAATACTAATCTTATCAACTTGCTTAGCATAGCTAAAAGGGAGATAGAGCAATATGCTTTTACTACTTAATAATCCGGTTTCCCTAGCTTCTATAATAGTAAGATTTACGCTATTTTCTATATAGCTAATACGTATTCTAGTTAATATAACGCATTAAAGATATTAATGACTTTATTGCTTAAAATAAATTATAAATATTTCTACGTAATGTTTAGAATGCTATTTATACTTAGTGCTTTATATAAGCTAATTTTAGCTATTGCTCTAGTTATCTTTTTAATTAAGATATCCAGGTTGTTTATATTTCTTATATTAAAATTTGATATATCCTTTTTTTAACTTTTTAGAACTAATAAGAAGAAGCATTAAAATAGCTCAGTTGCTTTAGCATTATTGCTTTTAAGCTCTACCTTTTAATTGTTAGTATTAATAATTATAATAAGGATGTTTCTAAACGCTAATAGTTATAAGTCAAAGTACCTAGCTGCTTTCTATATATTGTTTATCTATATTAGAAAGTTATTTTAATATAGTTGCTTTTTATTATAAATGCTTTTATAGAATTAATACTTAGCTTATTTAGCTTTATAGCGACTTTCTTCTTTATCTAACTTTATAGTTTGTAATATATTATTCCAATTCTGTTATTAAATATATTTATTGCAAAGCTTAATAAGCTTATTATCCTATTATGCTTTTATATATAAGGATTCCTTAATTATTAAGCTATAATTTTAAATATACTAGCTTACTGTATTCTAAATCTCTATAACTGCTTAATTAAGCTTAATAGTATTATTAATATTAATAATTAACAGTTCCTATCCCTTAAGTGCTTTAATAGCTTTATCCCAGTCTGTTTTTCTAAAGTTGTATTTCGCTTTTACTATTATAGCCTTTCTAGCCTTTTTGAGTTGAAATACTATAGCTTTATAGTCTAATCTATATTAGGTTAGGTAGATGCTACACTTTATAATCTAGCTTTGAAATATATTAAATACTAGTATAAAATTAATAGTAGTTCTAAAGCGTTCTTTAAGGAATGTAACTGTGCTACTTAATAAAATTAAAAAGGTGTTATATTAATGTATTTATTAAAGCACTAGTTTGCTTTTTTCTATATATTAGAATTATAATACATTAATTCCTCCCTATATTAGGTTATAGCAATTAAAGTCGCTTCTAACTATAATAGGAAGGTTTTCTCTATATTTTACTTTAGCTTTATAAATAGTGTTACTTAACGCTATAAGCTTAATAGTGATTGCCTCTTCTAAGTCCTATTTAGAGAAGATATACTAGCTATAACCTAGAATATAGATTAATATAATAAAAATATAATTTATTAAAATAGTAATAATTTCTATAGTTATATTTAATAACTATATAAGGAATTAAACAAATGAAACATTTTTATAAATATATAATAATAATTAAAAAGCATAGTGTATTAGTCCTTTTTATTAAATAATTAGAATTATAATATTTTAATACCAATATTAGGAAATATAAAGTTTGCTATTAATATTAGTAATATTTAGCTTTATAATTATAATTACTATAAATTAGCTAATAGATTGATTATTAAAAAGGCTAAGTTAGACTAGGGATTATCTATTTACATTTACTAATAGGAAATAGATATCTCTTATTAGATATTGCTTATAGTGACTTCTCTTTTAAAACGCTGGCTAATAATCATTTGCTATTCCTTATCCCTATTTTAAATAGACTAGTTAATAAGTTAACTTCTGCTTTAAATTCTATTAATTTTATTATAATAAATTAAGTATTTAATATTTATTATAATATATAATCCTCTATATACTACGTATTTTAGTATTAAAGCTTTATATTTATTTATTTTATAGTTTTTAGCGTATTTACTATATTTTAATAGCTAATTATATTTAGCCTAATAATAACTATATATATTATAATTATAATATTTTTAAAGGCATTAAAGTTTTTAATACTTGCTAATTATAATTATAATATTATTAACTTTAATTATACGCTTATTAAAGGCTCTCTAAGCATTTTCTATTATAATAAGGTAAACTACTATAGATTTTATAAGTTTCTCCTTTTTAAAAAGCTAAAATATTTTAATAGCTTTTATAAATTTATTCTTAGCGCTAAATGTTACTATAAATTCTAATTAGATTTTATAAATATTAAGCATTAAGACTGCTATTTTATATATATTATTTATTTTAATTAAAAAGAGATTCTCTTTTTAGATTTAAGCTATTTTAAATATTTAATAAATTTATTTATTATTTAGCTATAGTTAAATAGCATCTTTCTTATTTTAAATAATAACTCTTATAATCCTTATTTTAACTTAGATCTTTTTAATAATAATATTGCTTATAAATAGTTAGGCTATAATAGCTTTTTAGATTCTTTTCTCTATAGCTTTATTATTTTTAGCTGACTTACGTTATTTAACTATTAAGCAACTAAAGTCAATTATAGTTTTTAAAAGCTAGTGTAGTTTTTCTAAAAAGGTAAGTGGAATTGATAACGTACTGCTATCTAAGCAAGGTTAGGTAGCTAACAATAATAGATAGATAAACCTTAATGCTGCAGATACGTACGTAGTTAGTAATGAGGCTGCTATGTTAGGGTTAGCTATTAATAACGGGCTTAATCTTTTGAAGCTTAAGAGGACAGTTCTGCTGTTGTTGACATTGGTACTAATGGCCCTAACCTCAGTGTCGAGGACCTTTATATCAGCGCTTACTGCTTCAAGTTTCTTTTCGAGCTCATCGTTTTTCTTTACGACGACGTTGAGTGTCGCTAATAGGGTGGCGTTCTCCTAGTGAAGGGTCTCGTTCTGTGTCTGGAGTTGCTTAAGCAATTCATTGATTTTGTCGTTCTAGGCGTTCACCGCTTCTTCAATGAGACGTTTCATTATGTCTTCTGCGAAGACGGCATTGTCACTTGGATTAAGGGAGCGAATAGGCTGAATCAGCCCTCCGCTCTATCTAGTGTTCCTAGCTCTCCTCTGCACTGCTGTGGCAGCGCTCTGTCCCTTTGGGGACAACGCTAGTATGACTATGGCAACGGTGTTACTAGGACGGTCGGGCGGCACCCTTTCCCTCGACTAAAATCGACGGGAGTTGGATGGTTCGACTCGTCGAGTCGGCTTGTAGATGAAACTGTCAATAAAATGATGAATATCGATAAAAAATATCGATGTCGGTCTGTTACCCCATATCGATGTCGTTCTCCTTCTCGACACTTGAGACGTACTCTGCTCACAGGACCAGAGGCATTATGGAGATTGCAAATTCTTAGGCTCTCTCAAAATTCCCTTTCCATCAATATCCGATGTGGTCTAGTGGCTAGGATTTGCCGCTCTCACGAATCGAAAGATTCAGAAGTGCCGGCAAGGCCGGGGTTCAATTCCCCGCATCGGAAGCGTTATTTTGGTCTTTCGCTTATCAAAAGAACCTTTTTTTTTGCTTTGAAGGGATGGATGTGCGAATTCATACAGTATACCATATGCTGTGGTCAGTGGTTGCAATGGTTGCAGCGTCTCGCCCGTAACAGGAAGAAGCACCATGGGGAGTCTACCCATTTACAGTTAGATTCTGACGCACCTTCCTAAAAAATAGGCAGCTCCTTGCTTTCATGTACAGAAAATAAACGTTCCTAAATGCTTGGATTGCCAGACGATGAACTGCATCGAATCCTTTTGGTTGTGACGGCTGCATAGCCAAGGATCCAGACAACTTCTGAAAGCAGAGTATATATCTACTGTACCTCTGTGAATGCTCGCTATAATGCAGTGTAACCAAATCATGAGTTTTCCCCCGTGCCCGTGCCGATATAGAGCTTTACGTGTCAGAGACCCGCTGGAAAAACACAATATACGCCATTTCGTTTTGCAATCGGTCTCTTTCTGGTAATCGATCTGGATCGAAATCTCCAACCCAGGTATCATTGAACTGTCTCCAGCAATTCCTGGCTGTATCTTTGGCTAGGCAAGTGTAATGCCCACTCGTCAACGTCGTCCCAATATGCCGCATCACCGCGTAAGCATCGTAAAAATAAGGTGGTGTCATGGTGGGATCCGGCTTCAGCTGCTCTGGTGGAAAGTTCTTGCTCATCGCATGTTGCTCCTTGGGAGTAGGGCTTGGAAGCATATACGGCTCCAAGTTGAAATTACGCAGAGGAAATTCGATTGGTGTTCGGACTTTGCGCGCGCTCTCGCCACGCCCAGCACTGAATCGCTTGAAGTGCACAACCAGAAATTGTGGGGCGCGTGTTATTATGATTTGCTTGGTCGCCTCTCTCTCCTTGTTGCAGCGAGGGCACTTCCAGACTTCATCTCCAGACAGCATCTCCTCAGCACAATAAGATTTGAGGCAATCTTGTATGTTTGCCTTGCCCGACCTTGGAATCTCTACAGATATGCTGTAAAAAGCCTCATATGTCGTGGACGTGAACTGACACGTCGTGCAGCGAAGTCGAGATGCATGTTGACCACCGAAAAGTTCGGTCAAGTATGAAAGCTCACGATGGGTATAGCGGCCCCACTCCATCTTGCTAACAATGAGCTTGGGCATCTTTTCGCGGACTTGCTCTTGCTGGTCCGTAAGTGCTTGGAGGGGCGTCCGGGACCAGTTGGCGTTTAGGTCTTCATGAAGACAATCGACAAGGAAATCAAGGAACTCTTTCGCGTCTTGCTGCCGGTCAATACCCCATTCGCTGTTAAGACGTGCACAAAATGATCTGAGTGTACTTGGCCTAATGGCTTCTACATCGCCCTTCCACACACTTCGTATGAGATTGCCGTACAATTCGGGAAGTACACCCTTGCTTCCCTTCCAGTTCTCGCGCTGAATATGTTGCTTGAATCGATCATCAAGGAAGAAGAGGGTGAGGGGAGTGGTGGCGGACAGAGCCTGGATGGTAGCATTCATGTAACACGTAACGCCAAAGTTGACCAAACCGGTTCGCGGTAAACGCTGATTCGAAGGGAGGAAGCGCGGAGGAACGTATGCTGGAAGGTGATCGGATGAACCAGTATTTGTCTGCGAGACTGCTCGCTCGCTGACTCCACTGTAGGACATACGGGAGGCAGCTGGTGCAGGCCGTGACGGTACGGGCGGAACAGGAGGCGCAATGGACGAGAGTTGTGGCTGGGCAGGGTATGTAGGTATACGGGGCTGCGACGGGGGTAGTTGCGAAGGCGAGTCCACCCTATAGCGCTGCTCGATGGTGCCGGCCTCAGGGAATCGGCGAACGAATTCCTCGATGTTGTCGTAAAATGGTGTTGCGTCTTCAACTTGTTGCGATTCATCCTCTTCGCTGATGGCTGGTTTCTGGTTTACGGCGACACTCTCCTTTCGTGCCCTTTCTAGCCACTTCCGCTCCTCGTCGGCATCCATAGGATTGTATTCACGAAGCCTTCTCTTTGCCACGTGAAGTCTCGAAGAGCTGCCGCCAACGGGAACTCTTGTGATAGGCCTGGTGGGCTTGTTTCTTGATGCAGTGTCTGATTGTGCAAGGCTTTGGTCTCCAACCAATTCCACCCAGGCCTCGATACCGCCCATAAGAAGGATGGGGGCCCTCTGGAGTGGTTTTTCTTGATTGAACTCGTAGAGGGCATCGTAGAGATAGCGGAGTTTGAACTCCCTCTCTGTGCTAGGCCGGCTTAAGAAGCGATCGGAAGAGGTGACTTGGTCATAATAGACGACCAAGTCGAATTTATTTCGGTCACTGAACGCCGACTGCTCTGCTTCGGGCGCGAGAACCATGGAGTCTTGCAGATCCTCGGCGGACATATCCCGTCTCAGCGATGTGGGATCAATGTTGATGATGGAAGGAGTGAAGACGTGGCCATCGTCGAAGTCCTCGCGAGGGCGAACGTCAATCAGAAGTATGCTGTACATTTTCAGATAGTCGAAGAGCTTGTCAACGCCGATGCGGATCTCCTTCGGAACATGGACAGACTTTCGGCGCGGCGGAGCAGCTGGAGGGCGGTCTATCGAGGTGCGTGGAAAATAGGCAGCGGCATCGTCTCCTTCATTTCCGGGAGCATAGAAGGAGGCGTTTGACATGGCGGCATTAGACCTGCCGCCTGTGCCCATGATACTACGAGCACTAGAGCGGGGCAGATTGATGTTACCGGCAATCTGCATATTTCTTGCAGGACTATAGATGGGACTAGGGGCTTGTGGCATTCCTACTGCGAGTTGGGTATCGAGGAGAGTATGCGGTCCAGCGTTGGGCATGGAACGAGGACCAGCAGGCCTCAGGGACTGCGGAAGGCTTGATATATCCAAGGAGGAACGAGGGCTTTGAATGTGAGAGGACGATGCTGAGCCATTGGAGATTATTGAGGCGCGAGACTCTGATCGGTTGAAATGTCCGGCAACATCAGTAGCGGGAGCCATTCTCAAACGAGCGAAGCGATCATTTAGAGCATTGGTAGCCGAGGGAACAGGCGAGCTGGCCAGTGAGCGAGATGCCATGGGAGCAGCGGGCTGAGCGGACGTGTTGATTTGGCCATTGGGTGTATTGGAGTACCGTTTTGACTTTGGTTGAGTGGCATTTCTCAGATTGTCATTGACAATGATTCTTTTTATGTTTTCGAAGCGTTCAGTGGTGTTATTGATGCGCTTGAGGGGTAGTCAGTCAGAAGTCGAGCTTACACGGACAGAAGTGATGTAGAGAAAGTGAGTATACCTTTATCAGGTCCTGAAGGACGACTTGGGTTTGGCCGCGTTTCCCGGTCAGATTGGGATGATCTGAATGGCGCGGGACAATGTTAACAACAATCTCGAAGGCGCGCAGGTATTCTTGATATGCCAGGTCAGGCCGTCGAAATTGGACAAAGGTGTCGGCACTGTTAAGAGCCTTTTGGGCTTCACCGACCAGCTTGCTGAAGGAGTGGTTGACGGATATGTCCTTGACAGCAGCGACTTGCAGGTCTGATATATGTGCCAGAGGTTTGGCGGGCGTGCCATTGCCGTCGGACGAGGTGGAAATCGGTCTGCCGTTGAAAGCGGTCGAGGAAGGCTTTGGCGGCGATGAAGGACACGGAGGGCTCATCATTGCGAAGTGAGGACAGGTCGCGGTCCAGACATATCGTGTGTATTGGGCCGTCGATTACAAGGCGACTGAGTATTCGAGACTTGTTGGATAATATGAGTACGGTCGACAGTAGTAGTCAGTCAGTCTAAGTCTAGCGGGTAGTGGGGTGGCGCGGAACGAGACAGAAGTCCAGCGGTTTGAGGAATGCGAGCAGGCTGTGGAGTGGCGATCGTGATGTCTCGCTATTATTTCCCAAATGACAGGCGAGATAGGTGTGGTGTTGGTGTGGTCAGAGATGCATAAGGTACCTTATTCTCTAAATCGATTTTCGTCGGCGTGTACAGACTTGCGTCGACACGACTGTACCCCAGTGACGTCTTAGGCTCCGCTACAGCAGCAGCACTATTATAATAATAAGGTAAGGTAGGCACCTACAAAGAACGGTAACGGACCGTGCACACACGCGGTGCTTTGGCCGGCGATTCGTGTACCGCGGTGCCGTCGCCTCGGTCGAGAGAGCTGGGTGCATCATCCAAGCTCTCCAGCATAAAGTATCAAAGGTACAGCGGTCTGTATGACAATTGAGGTGGCAGCTTACATACCTTAGACATTCATCCAAGTGTTTGCTCATAAATCATTTACTCGCCACCACCACAAAACCCCATCCCGCCCACCTCATCGCCCTGAGCCTGGACTTTAAGACGTCTTAAACCACGACACTTTGCTTGACAAACTTAAGGTAGACCAAACAAAGGCTTGTTCAGGTGCAACCATGTCTGGATGGTTTGGGGCTGGCAACTCTGCTCTGGATGAGCAGATAGACCGTGCCACTTCTTCCAGTCTGGAGGATATCGCTCTGAACCTGGAGATCTCGGACATCATCCGTTCCAAGACGGTGCAGCCCAAAGAGGCAATGCGCTCGCTCAAGCGCAGAATAGGCAACAAGAATCCAAACATCCAGCTTGCCGCCCTGAACCTCACCGACACATGTGTCAAGAACGGCGGCTCCCATTTCATGGCTGAGATTGCCTCGCGCGAATTCATCGACAACCTCAGCTCACTGCTAAAGGCTTATGGAGGCGCTGCCTTGAACGACGACGTCAAGCAAAAGATCCTCGAACTCATCCAATCTTGGGCCACGGCTGCAGAGGGCCGCGACAATCTCATCTACATCAGTGAAGTGTACAAATCTTTGCAAAGAGAAGGCTTCCACTTCCCACCCAAGACCGAAGTGGCCAGCAGTATGTTTGACAGCTCCGCCCCTCCAGAATGGGTCGACTCGGATGTGTGTATGCGGTGTCGTGAGAAGTTCACTTTTACCAACAGGAAACATCACTGTCGGAATTGCGGAAACGTCTTCTGTGGTGCCTGTTCCT